GCCACTGCACTCCAGTCTGGGTGACAGAGTGAGACTCCAATTCAAAAAAAAAAAAAGTTAACAAATGTTTATATCAAATAATTAGGTCTAATTACTCTCATCTTGTCCTGAGGTTTTTCTCTGGCTCCGAGTGGCACCCAGCCACTGCTTGCCCTGCTCTCCCCTGCCCAACCCATTTTGCCCCCACCCCAGGCGGGGCATACCCCAGACCCAGCCCTCCTCCCGACTGTTCTTGCTCTGGGAGCTTCAAATGCCACTTTCCCTCTTAGAAAGATGACTCAGTACCTTCCAGCAACTCTTCTCAAACTCATTCTGGCTCTTAATGGCAGAACAAAGGATCACCTATTCAGCAGACTCCACCTTCCTTAGGATGCAGTTATACTTGCTGGCTGTGTAATCTTGGGCAGATCCCTGTCACTCTCGGACTCATCCCCACTGCAGGACAATAAACCAGCTGTAGCAACTGAATTTTGAAAATTAAAAACTTCATGTGTGCCAGGCAAAAATGACTTTATAAATCAGGGTTCACTTTTATTAATCCTTAAAACAAGCCTGTGAGGTAGATACTAATGTTGTTCCTATTTTACAGGTGGAGAAACTGAGGCATAGAGAAGTTTGGAGGGGGAGGAGGATGAGTCAAGGGTCTTGAAGGCTGGGGTGTGTTGGGCATCAGTTCTGTCTTAGGTGTCATGGCTGGGACAAGCTAGCATGGGGCTGGGAAGCCAGATGCCCACAGACAGTCCTGCTGACTGGGGCCTCTGTGACTCAGGACAGCATCATGGTGTGACGAAATGCAACATCACGTGCAGCAAGATGACCTCGGAGATACCCGTGGTTCGGCTCATCCGCTATCAACATAACCAGGAGTCCTGTGGCAAACGTGCCATCGTGTAGGTACCGCCCTCAAGACCTCTGAAGTCCCCATCAGGCCCTCAGGAGAGTCCTAGGCTAATCCACATTCACTCCACTGCAACCTGGGCTCCCAGCAAAAGGCCTCAGCAAATGCACCTCTTGCTCCTGACCTGCAGGTCACCTCATGGACCTTAAATACTATGCCACATGGCAAAGGCAGGGCGTGGCTTCCTGAATGGTCCAGTGTGGCTGGTTGGCGGCTGCCCTGGTTTGTGGTTTGAAGCAGACACGGAGGGTGAGAATTCCCTCTGGGCTGAAGCACATTTTTCACCGCACTCAGACCCCCTAGATTTCGTGCAGAGGTGAAAGCATGAGGTTCTGTACTCCAGCAGACCTGGTGGGAATCCTGGCTCCACCTTCTACTGGTTGGGTGGCCCTGGTCACATTGCTTACCCTCAGTACCTCGGTTTCCTTGTCTGTCAAACGGGAAGCTTGGAAGATAAAGGACAACATGTAACTAACGAGCTCGATCGAGCGCTGACCCCAAAAGCCGCAGAGATGTTATCTCCACTTGACAGACAGGAAACAGGGGAGCCATTTCCTCCTTGGTTTTTGCGGGTCCCTGGCCATCTTGTTCGCTTGCTCCTTCTGGGGCTTCTCTTGGGTCCTGCCCTATCGCCCAGCCCTGAGGCCTTTCCGCAGGACTGACTTTTGGGCCCTGAAGCAGCCTCAGTCCCCAGGGACCGGGCAGCAAGACCTTTACTTTCTGGGTCAGGCAAAGGAAGTCCAGGGCTTCCCCTCCTCAATTGTGCAGTCTCTAAGAGGGGCTGGCACTGAGCGTACTCCTTCCTGACCTCCCTGCCTACCGGCCAAGGCTTACATCCCCTAGATGTGCCCATATATTTGCTTTTTTCCCTCTAGATTCAGGGAAAGTAGGGAAGGGATCACCATGCCTGAGGACTCCTGCAGGGTCATACCTGCTTCCTGGGCTTTTCTGGCTTCCCTGAATGCTGGAGCCAGGTGCATTTACTTTACCTCTCTGAGCCTCGGTTTCTCATCTGTAAAATGAGGATGAGAGAAGTAGCCAACTTGTGGGATAGTTGTGAGGTTTAAACATGGGCAAGATGCCAAGCACAGGCTGTGGCATGAAGCCAGGGCCCCAATCAACTCTGAGCTGTGGTCTCGGTGGTGAACCAGCCACACACAGCCTCAGAGGAAGTTCAGGATTTGGATGACACTAGGGGTCTCAACAGGACTGCCATATACATGGCTCTAGCTCACTAGGGTAGGGGCCCTGGGCACAGCCTGTAGCCAAGAAATCAAGACAGAGGAGGACTTTGTGACATGGGGCCCTTTCCAGAGTAGGAAGGCCCCACCACAGAGCTCACCTGTCACACACCTGGCATCCAAGGATACTTGTGAAGTCCCCTCCCAGTCAGGAGACTCAGCCCAGAGCCCCCTGCCTTCATGGTAGCAATATTATTATTAACACTTGCTATTTTCAGTGATAATTGATCTCCTACTCTAGTCAGGTGCTTTACATAATTTATCTTTGGTTCTAGTAACACAGAAGTCAGGTGACCAACTCATCCCCATTTGCCTGGGACTTTCCCAGTTTGGAAATGGAAAGTCCCTCATCCTGAGAACACCCTCTGTCCCAGTTTTTCTGGGACAGCTTGTCACCCTACAGACGGTAGGCATTCTTTTTTTTTTTTTTTCTTGTTGGAGTCTCACTCTGTCACCCAGACTGGAGTGCAGTGGCCGCTCCCGGCCACCACAGCCTCAAACTGCTGGGATCCGGCAATCCTTCCGCCTCAGCCTTCCGAGTAGCTGGAAGTATGGAAACGCGCTACCACGCCTGGCTAATTTTTTGATTTATTGTAGGGATGAGGGCTCACCAAGTTGCCCAGGTGGGTCTCGAACCCGCGGGCTCAGGCAATCCACTCACCTCAGCCTCCCAAAGGCGCGGGATTACAGGCTGAGTTTCTTGGAGGTTGAGTTGCCGAGGTCTCACAACTCATAAAGGGGAGAGCAGGATTTCCAGCGGGTCTGGAGTGGAGCGTTTATGCTGTGTCCCCACACCACACTGGCCTGGCTTCCTGGTATTTGAGCATCACCGGGTCCCTGTCTTCCTCCCTTGTAGTTTCGAGACCAAATTGCACAAATTCTTCTGTGCTGACCCAAAGGAGAAATGGGTGCAAGATGCTATGGAGCACCTAGACCGCCGGGCTGCTGCTCCAACTCACAACGGCGGCAAGTTTGAGAAGCGAATTGACCCGGTGAAGCCCTGGACCACCCCGACGACCAGGGGAGTGTACAAGTCCGCAGTCTCAGAGCTCGAAGCCACAGGAGAAAGCAGTCATCTGAAGCTGACTCCTTCTTCCCAGGAGGCATGGAATGCTTTGGGGACTTCCCCAGAGCTGCCAGCAGAAGTGTCTGGCTCCTTGGGGACCGGGTTGCCCCCCACTTCAAAGGCTCGGGTTGGAGGCACTGTGGGCACTGAGCTTTACAACACAGCTGCCGTCTTCACTGCTATAGCTTGGCAGAGTTCTACCGCCTCCCAACCTGAGTCTGGCCTCTGGGCTGAGGGAACGACCCCTGAGGCTCCCTCCACTCAGGCCCCCTCCACCGAACCCTCTTCCACCCAGGCCCCCACCGCCTCCCACTCAGCCCCAGAGGAGAACGTTGGGTCTGAAGGCCAACCTGTGTGGGTCACAGGGCAGACCCCCAGTCCAGAGAACTCTCTCAGGCCCGAGGAGATGGGTCCTATTCCAGCTCACACAGATGCTTTCCAGGACTGGGGAGCTGACAGCATGGCCCATGTTTCTGTGATTCCTGTCTCCTCTGAGGGAATCCCCAGCAGGGAGCCAGTGGCCTCAGGCAGTTGGACCCCCAAGGTTGAGGAGCCCATCCACGCCACTGTGGACCCTCAGAGACTGAGTGTCCTTATCACCCCAGTCCCCGATGCCCAGGCGGCCACCCGGAGGCAGGCAGTGGGGCTGTTGGCCTTCCTAGGCCTCCTCTTCTGCCTGGGGGTGGCCATGTTTGCCTACCAGAGCCTCCAGGGCTGCCCCCGTAAGATGGCAGGGGAGATGGTGGAAGGTCTTCGCTATGTTCCCCGGAGCTGTGGCAGTAACTCGTATGTCCTGGTGCCAGTGTGAGCTGCCCCCTACCTGCGTCCAGTTGTTTGACTCAGACAGCTGCCTGGGGCCCTGCATCCTCATACCCACCCTCCCCCAAGGGCCTGGCCTGAGCTGGGGTGGTCGGAGCAGGGAGGTGGGAACCTCTGGTGTAACTGCTCCAAGCCCCAGGCACGTCCCAGGAGGCCAGCCTTGACCACTCTCAACCTACTGGGGACAAAGGGGGTGGCCTCCCAGCTCATCCCGATGCGAAAACTCTCCTCTGCTGCTGGCTGGTTAGAGGTTCCCTTTGACACCCTCCCAGCCCCAATGGACACTTATTTATTGAATGCCCAGCCTCCTCTGACCCATGCCTTCCTGTGAGGACCACGGTCCTTCCATCTCACAAGTGAGCACCAGGCCAGGCCCCATGCCCGCTCCCTCTGACCTCATCATGTCTCTTGGTCCTGCTGCAGTCGCCAGTCACCCCGGCCACCTGCGGTGCTATCACCCCCCCTCCCTCTGTACAGAGTCCATGCCCCAACTGATGACGTGTCTTTTCTTGCATGAGGCTAATGTGGTGTTTCCTGGGGCCGCTCCCTGATGGCTGTGCCCCCAGTCAGGCATCGTGAGAAGGGGAGATCAAGCTATCTGGTGGCCTTGATACCTGGTGGCTTTCCTCCTCAGCCTGCGCTGTTCAGTGAAGGAACATCGACTTCGAGTCTGAAGGCTGGCCCTTGGCCCAGGTCCACTATCAAGCCACAAGGCAATCTTACCTGTGAAAGAAAGGAAGTAGGGCAAATATGTGGCAATACCTGCACCCCTGATGTCACTAATGGACCCCGAGACCCTTTCCCCAGCCTCTGGATGCAGCCTCGTGGTTTCTTCAACAGAGTGCCCTGGACAGTCACTGTCCGTGGATCAGACTGGTCTTTGTGACCCGCATGGCCTGTCCAGGAGTAAGCTGACAGTGGGGGTCCTTGTAGGGCCCCAAACAGGTCTGGGCAGAGTAGAGACTAACTTTGAAGGGCCTTCCCAGTTTCAGCCACTGAGACAGCTGTGCTCTGCCCCCCATAGGGGCAGGTGTGGGAGGGGGGAGGGCTGGGGGCACATGTGAAGGAGCCAAGGACAGGCTCCAGGATCAGCCACACTCTTTATGCTGCTGTAGGGACTTGTGCAGGCACCAGGCCCCGTGTCCCCTGCAGTCCCATACACCTCGGGTTTTTTCCTGTGGCCTGGGTTCCCCTTCCACCTCTCTTAATCCCTGAAAATACCGTACTTTGCGCTCCAAGACCTTCTCCCCTTGTCTCTGCCCCCACCGCAGGCAGGGTCAGGGATTTCCGTGATGTTTTCCATGAGTCCCAAGTTTTTTCTCAAAGGGACTCTGCCCGGGGAGGGGAAGTTGTGGGCATAAAGTCGGGGGTGCCAGACCTCTTTGTCTGCTGAAGTCTCAGGCATGCCTGAATGGGTCAGAGCTGACTGTGCTGGCCAGCGCCCACAGTCAGAGCTGGACCTGCAGGCCTGGCCCCTCAGGATCCCTGGTGGCAGCTCACCCTTCCTCAGATTGTCCCCAAGGGTGACCCGCCACCTGGGGAGTCTTTCATGGGTTGGGCTCCACCCAGGTGCCAACCACACACTCCTTCACAGATGGGTGCTCAGAAGAAGAAAACAAGCGCTGGCCCATGGAGAGGGAATCCGTGCCACCCTGCCCACCTGTACCCCTGCAGGGCACAGCACAATGTGTGGGAAGCTCCAGGCCTGGCTCATGTGGGGGTCAATCTGGAGGCTTGGAGCGGGCGAGAGCAGGTCTGAATGCACTTTGTTTTGGCTCCTCCAGGCTGGAAGAGCCTTCAAGGGGTGGGACACCCAATGACGGGCACCCTTCCCCATGAGGAAGCTGCTGGGGCAGTGGGCCCCCTCTTAAGGACATTGCAAGTTCCTCCAGGACATGGACAAGATCGATCTGGGGAAGACCTGGAAAGAGTAGATTGATCCTTTTACTTTTCCAACCCTCATCATCAATGTCTGTGCCATTTTGTATTTTACTAATAAAATTTAAAAGTCTTGTGAATCAAATAAGGGTGTGTTCTCTGGGGCAGGCCAGGAGAATGCAACAAGGAAGGGGCCAAGACACTCTCTACTGGCCACCTGAGACTCTTGTCTATAGGCCACCAGGGGCAGAGGGGCAGGGATTTTTACAATCAGCAGGAGAAGGGAACCCAAGGATGGGCAGGAGGACTGGGCCAGTGTCTTCAGCTCTCTGGACCTTTATCAACGTGGGTGTGAGACCTCTCCCAATCCCTCATGAAGCCCTGCAGTACCACTGACTCAGGGGCCCCAGCATCACAACCGGTGATTTGGTGACCCATGGGAGCAAACCAGGCCACATTTTCCTCGTTGCTTATTCCTGGTTCAGATCAAGATGAAAGAGGGATCACTTCTTCTCAAGGGACTTGGGAGTTCCTAGATGTGACCCAAGTATGAGTCTCCTGGTAGTCCCTAAGCACTTCCTTGTCCTGGGGGGCGGGGTGAGGTCATCATAAGAGCTGTTATAATAGATGTTCACACTGAGAATTGCACAAGGCTGCCACAGGTCAAGTCCAGCGTATTAACATACACTAGTTCATGGATTTTAAGATGTGCTTTCTTTCACACCGTGACATGTTTGGAATTGGGATCTGTTTTGCAATCCATGGCTTATCGTAGTCTAATTGGCAGTTTATTTTTCTTTACTAGTAGTCTAGTAAATATCCAAACATCTTATTAATAGCATCTTAGATTCAATGTCTAAACGGTGTTTTGAAAATTAGAGGCAACGTTTGAAAATCAGAAAATTGCACACATACACTCACTTTCCTAGGCTCTCTCAGGTGACTCAGACGATCTGGCCCTGCTGGCCCAGGCTCCACCAGGGTGACAGTGGGCAGGACGGAGCAGCAGCTGCCCTTTGAGACAGGGCAGCCCCCCTGAGCCCTCTGGCTTTCCACCAACGCCTCCCCCTCCTGGAGCCCCCAACCTTAAACTCATGTTAGCTGCCATTAATCATCGCCCTTTCTGCGTTTTTCTTTTCTTTTTTTTTTTGAGTTGGAGTCTCACTGTGTCGCCCAGATTGGAGTGCAGTGGCCGCTCCCGGCCACCGCAGCCTCGACCTGCCGGGCTCCGGCGGCGATCCTTCCGCCTCCGCCTTCCGAGTAGCTGGAACTACAGGCGCGCGCTACCACGCCCGGCTCATTTTTGATTTATTGTAGAGATGAGGTCTCGCCAAGTTGCCCAGGCGGGTCTCGAACCCGCGGGCTCCGGCCATCCACTCACCTCAGCTCCCAAAGGCGCGGGATTACAGGCTGAGCCACCGAGCCCGGCTCCGCGTTTTTCTTAGAGTGAGGATGTTTCCTCTGAGCCTGAGTCTCCATCAAAAGTGGGTCTAGAAGCCGGGCAGGGTGGCTCACGCCTCTGATCCCAACACTTTAGGAGGCCGAGGCGGGAGGATTGCTTGAGTTGAGTGTGTCTGTGTATTGCTCGAGTTGATGTGTGTATACGCATAGTGCGTCTCCACAAAAAAATTAAAAACGGTGCCAGGTGAGGTGGCGGAGGTGGGCGCAGGTGTAGCCCCTGATACTCCGGAGGCTGAGGCGCAAGGGTCACCCTAGCCCAGCAGGCCGAGGCTGTGGTGGCCGTGTGCCCCTCTGCACTCCAGCCTGGGCGATGGAGTCCGACCCTGGCTCAAAAAAAAAAGCGAGCCGAGAAAAGACAGGCCGTGAGGGGCACGTGATCTCTGCGGGCCGCCTCTCCCAGACATCCGGGTGCGCGGCGCCGGCCGCCCTTCTCCGCGCCGGCCGCCTCCGCGCGGAGCTGCCGTTCCGCTTCCCCTTTGCAGCGAGCACGCCCGCTCCGCCGCCCCAGCCCCTTAGTCTCGCTTTTCCCGCTCCCAGGAAGGCGCTGGCCGCGGGCAGGGTCCCAGCCCCCTCCCCCCGCCCACCAGCCCGAGAGACGCCAAGGCTGGAGAGGAGGGGACGCGTCCCCATCCACCCCCTTCGGAGGGATCGCGCCTCCGCCGCAAGGAAGAACGGAGTGGGAAGGAGCTGCGGTCCGCTCGTCCCCGAGCCCTGCCCCGGGATCCCGGGGGCTTGTGCGGCTTTTCTCTTGCAGCTCCAAAGCGAAACGGTGGCGAAGCCGGTTCCCACCACCAATGCGGAGTTCGCGTGGGGCCACCGTTATGTAAAAGTCCTCGTATAATAATCGCAGGCACGTTTTCTTTCATGTGGCCCGTGCGCCGGGCAGCGTGCTCGTGATCCCACCATCCCCCCCGAGATGAAAGGATGGCCCCGCAGCTCGTAGGCAGGAGAGCAGGGACAGGACGCGGCGCTTTCCCCAGAACTCCATTAAGCACCGTTTCAAAAAGAGTGAGCCAGCCTTCAAAGCGCAGGCTCCGGAGGCCGCTGCCCACCTTCTGAACCGACTCCAGGAGCGGGGCCTGGGCCGGCCCGGCACCTTTCAGCGGCAGCGTCTCCGCCCCTCTGCCCCAGCTCCGCCCCCTCCTCTCCCTCGCTCCTTCCGAGGGACTTGGCGCCGCGGTGGAGTTTTCGAGCCCACTCTACCGGTCAGCCGGCTCCCACCCCCAAGTTTTCAGGGCCCCTTGGGAAGCAGCTCCGCTCGACCTTCTCACCCTCTGCCCTTTGTCGTTAGGCCCCCTTCCCTCCCCCGTGTCCTCTGTGCATTCCCCACTAGGGTGAGGCCAGGCAGAAAAACACAGAAATGAATGGCCGGGAATTTCCAGTTTGAGATTGAGTAATAGCCATCTGGGAGGTATGGGATATGTGTGTGTGTGTGTACTGTGTTTGTATAATGTATGGTATGTGTGTAGTGTGCATTGTGTGTGAGCCATGTGTGTTGTGTGCATGCATGTGTGTAGTATATGTATGTAGCATATGTGTGTGGTGTGTGTAGAGTGTGTAGTGTGTATATGTATGTGTGTGGTGTGTGTGTGCGCGCCTATGTTGCATGTATATGCATATGAGTGTAGTGTGTATTGTGTACATGCATATGTGTGTAGTGTGTGAGATGTATGTAGTGTATATGCATGTGTGTGTTTTGTGTATATGTATATGTGTGTAGTGTGTCCATGTGTGTGTTATGTGTATGTGTATAACTGTATCTGTATATGCAATGTGTGTAGTGTGTATGTCTGTGATGGGTGCACATGTATGTAATGTCTGTATGTGTATATGAGTATATGAGTGTAGTGTGTGTAATGTGTGTGTATGTGTTGTATGTATGTGTATATGTATGTGGTGCTTGTATGGGCAATGTGTGTAATGTGTATACGAGTGTAGTGTGTGTGTGTTTGTATGTGTGGGCACTGTGTGTGCACACATGCCCAGCTGCTTGTGTGTGTGTAAGAGCCCAGGAGACCACTCTTCTCGGTTCGCTTCTGCTCAGTCATGTGCTTTCCTAGATAAATAATGATTCAGCTGCAAAGATTTAAGAAAAGGTCTGTTGCCAGGCTAATTTTCCTGAGCTGACAGCAAAGTTGGCGGCTGGAACCCATGCCAGACTTCCTTTATCTTACTGAAGCAGGGTGGTGAGGGTGCCTCTGAACCCAGGAGAATTCCAAGTAGCACATGCTTGAATGAGATGCCTTTTACTTTCAGGGGTCCCTATTGTCCCCAGAGGACAGAATAAGATTATTTGCAATAAGAATTTTGTCTGCAATGGTGAGGCCTGTGTCCAGTCATGAGATGGCACAGAGGATCGCCCCACCAGCAAGAAGGCCTTCACCAGATGTGACCCTTTGACCTTGGACTACCCTGCCTCCAGAACTGTAGGAAATAAGTGTATTATCTTTACAAATTACCCAGTCTGTGGTATTCAGCTGTAGTCACAGAAAATGGTCTAAGACACTTGGCAAGATCAAAATGCACAGATCCCAACTAATGAGTGACTGGCAAGATGTATTGGGATTGAAAGGAAAATGAATTAGTTTTCAAGTCCTTGAGCCTCGGCTAGTCAGATCCTGAATATTTCTTGCTTGCTGCCTCCTGGGCATATGAGAAGTCTCCCTGACCCCCTTGGGGTTGGTCGGACCAAATGCCCAGTTCTAGCCAGTGAACTGGGAATGGCAGTAGTGTGTGTCACACAAGATCGAGGTGTTTAATTGTCTGTGGAAGACCCATCGGAGCTTTTAGAACCTTTGGCATAGCACCTGAAAACATTCCAGAAAGTAGCTGAATTCTAAAGTGAGGATGAGTCAGAGCCTCTGGCTGTGGGAAGAGCCCCAGCTCATCGATGTGGACATGTAGTGTGGAAAAGAAAGAAATCTTTGTGGTTTGAACCACAGAGAGCTTGAGGCTATTTGTTATTGTATCCTGGCCAACCATGATGGATACAGTATCCAGAAAGAAAAAATATATGATGGCTTGGACTACTAGCCACTACGTGTCAGGGATCTGCATGGTGCTATTCCACAGCCTGAAAACATCCACTTAACTGGGATCAACACACTTCCAAGATCTAACTCTTCCTCTTCATCCTCTCTCTTTGCAGATGGGATGGAGGTCTGCCTCAGCATGGCCAGCTGCCCATGAATTGACTGGGAATTCTCACCGAGTGGAGTTGGGAAAAAGAAGGGTTTTATAGTTTCTGTGAGATACACTTGTGCTCCAGAGTGTTAGTGGCCTGGAGATGCTTCAGCAGCCAAAAAAGGAAATAGGAAAAAGAATATTAACATCATCAAACACTATTTGCCAGGGGAGCTGAGTCAGCCAGTCTTTCAAGTACCTCCTAAGCCCAGAAGCTAAGCCAGGGTGAGTTGGGCCTGTGGGCACAGGCATTGGGTGTTAGGGCACAGTTCTCAGGACCAGCAAGGGCACTTTCTGTGTCTCGGTTTTCCTGTAGAGTTTTCTTAGTCAGCTGGTGCCAACCTCATTCTCCTGTCACTGATTCCCCATTCTCACCCTCCCCAACACCTCTAGCCACACAGTCAGTTTTCTTCCTGCCTGGGATAACTTGCCCCTTCACGGCTTCCCAACCAAGTCCGACTCATTCTTTGGTCTCAACTTAGATGTCACTTCTTATAGGTC